TCTATCTCCATCTCCATCTCCACATCTCTAATCTTTATCTCTATCTCCATCTCCAAATCTCCATCTCCACATCTCCATCTCCACATCTCTATCTCCATCTCCATCTCCAAATCTCCATCTCCACATCTCCATCTCCACATCTCCATCTCCACATCTCCATCTCCACTTCTCTCTCCTTACCGTACCAATTCACGTTTCGGTACACATTCGGCTACCTGATTCGGCTATCTATTAAACGATCCGCTATACGTTTGGTAACGAACGACCAATTCCACTGGTCGGCTTTACGGGTCCGCACCTCCTTCCCATCTCCGCCGGGCGTGCCACCGTAGCACCGCCTTCCTCACAGCGGAACCGTCGAGGTCCAGCCGGTGCCCGAGAACCGCCAGCGGGCCTCCTTCATGGCGGTCGGAGGTGCGGTCAAAGGTTGGTAGAGGTCGGTACTGGGTGGTGGGTCGGTACTGAGGTCCTAACCTCAGGATGGATGGACTAGATTCTTTTAAAGAACAAGTGGTTCAAGTCCAGTCTTCCGGAAGTTCTGGGTGGGTTTCTACACCATTTCTACACCAACAACAGGTCTGCAAGATCTTCTGTTTCCGCAGATGGTAGGATGAAAGTCCACAATGCAGGGTTATGTGCAAAAAAAGGTGACCCATGGCTGCCCATGGCCGATGAAAGCCGATGGCCTCAGATGGCAGCCCCGGGCTACCAGGGCCGAGTGGAGTACGGACTTGAACTCCTCACCGCGGCATTGAAAAGGGACCACTTGAGGATGTGAACGGACTCTCCAGTGGAAAGTGAAGGTACCCAAATGGGAGAGTTTTACACGTTTTCACGATGAAAGAGGAACCGGATCCTGTCTGAGAGTTATGGGGCTGTTGCTGAAGCCAGCGAAGGACTTGCCAAAGTACTGAACCGGCAACTTGAACACGCTGTGCACAGCTTGGCTTGGCTCAGCCATGGACTGGAGATGAAGCAACCCCCCCTCCAGAGCAGCAGGGCCCCAGGGTTCTCCGTGGTTGGGGAGTTGGGTGACAGAAACACCTTGCATGCCACGTGGCCTGATGGGGTCATGGCACCAGGATACCGTTTAAGCTCAATTAGACTTTAAGGAGCTTGACCTTTGAGAGTTGAGCGGATGTGGGACCCTGCAGCATCCTAAATCCCTTGGAACAATTCAACACCATCAGGCCCAAGTAATATACTTATACTGACTCATCACTACTTCCGAACTTCCACCAAAGCCAGATCTCACCCAACTCACCCACCAACCAAAAAGACAATTTTTCAGACAGACTTGTCCCTCCCCTCCACGCAAAACAGAGGAGGAACGGAAGAAGAAACCGAGACAGATCGCCCAGATCCACCGCGAACCCCTTCGATCTCAGTGCGTCCCGCGCTCCACCGCGCGCGCGACTCGCGCCACTCGCGCCAAACCCCCCATGCGCCCCGTGCTGCCGCATGGGCGGCCCTTCGTGCGCCGCGGCCCGGCACGGCTGAAGAAGGAGACGAAGGTCCGGGGACCGGTCCCGGGTGAAGATCGATTGAGGAAGCTCCTTTGGCGACGAGAGGCAGGATAGGTCGGACCCGGACGACCGGACCCGGACGAGCAACACCTCGAAACGGTGAATGAGGTCTGGTCCGGACGACCCCCCAACAGGTCCAGAACTGGCCTAAAATCCACTTCGATTCTGTCCCCGTCCGCTCCTGCTCTCTCGTGCGAGGTCGGCGCGGACCCGCGGCGCCGTCACATCGAGTCACGTGTGATGGCACGAAGGACGAAGGACGCACGAGTTCACCGGAGTCATACTCCGCCACTGAAGGTCCAGATGCAGCCCAAATGCACGAGTTCACCTCCTGAGAACTCCTTCCTCCTTCCTACCGTGAAAAGTTCTTTCTCCTTGCTTCTGGCTTGAGTACCGTTTGCTTGCTTCCTTCCTTGCTTCCTTGCTTCGTTGTTTGTTTGCTTGTTTGCTTGTTTTTGTGTTATTCTTGTCTCTTGGGTTTTTGGAACAGCTTCTGCCTCATCAGCAGGTCAACAGAATGCCCACCTCCACCACCTCCGCTCGCCATACAGACCCGCGCGGTCCGCGCGCGCGTCGCTCCAGAGGCGGTGGCGCTGGCGCGTGGAGTGACCTGGAAGGGCGTGGTGCCCGGTCACTCGGACTGGGAGCCGCACTTCTTGGAGACCGACGGTTGGCAGGCCCATCCGAGCGGGCGGGAACAGGTTGGTTGGAGGAGGGGCGTGAGTTGGGCCAACGATGGCCAGAACACCCTGGAGCTGGGGTTGCTATTGATAGCTCCGAAAAGAGGTTACGGCTTAAGGGGTGTCCATGAACCACCCCGGCAGTGGGTCCTGGTACGGGGTTGGCTCATGTTGGCTCTGGTTTTCTCAACATGATTGGGCGTCCACTCCGTGTGGGCTGGCACCCCTAGCGCCAGTATAGAGTGGGTCAACAGGCCAGAACTTCCTACTGCGCACTCCACAGTTTCTTTCTAAGGCGTCTCTATCTACCTTCAATCCTACCCAACGCGCGCCAGGGCTACGAAGAAAAACCTGCTGGCAGCGGCGGCCAAGCCGCTGGAAACACCAAGTGGTGGCACGTGCCGGACGCGCGCATCCGTGAGCTGCTGGGTCTCCCCACGACTGAGCTGCGCACGGAGCCGGAGAAGGCGGGGGTGTCCGCACTGTCGTAGGTCCAAACTTTCAACCACCAGGGAGCTTCCTTCACCCTAGGCTTCCTGGCCCACCATTAATTTAATAGGCTTTGCTGAATCAACTAAAGGGTTTTACACTACACACACCAGGTCAACCTTTTTTAAAATGGTCTTGGAAGTCTAGGGGCTTCCAATTTCGAGAATTCGTTCAAGGCTTCAACCTCAGCGTTCAAGTTTTTGTTGCACATCTCTAAGCTTCAAACGGAACAACCTCATGTGAGCCGACCTCTCAAAGCGAAACAATGTCGATTACATCAAAGACGACGTCCTCATGCGACGACGTCCTCATCTGCTGTTGCACAGCACTGCTCTGACGCCTCCCCGACGTGTGACGGCAAGGCGGTTTCGTTATCCTGTGGAACGGTGAGGGGACCGCCAGCTGTGACTGATGCTGATGCTGCGCAGTAGGTGTGACTTGTACTGTGCACCCAACTGTTTCTGTGCAACTTTGACTTACGACACTGTTGATTTATGTTAATTCATATACTGATGTTACTGTGCAACTGTATAGCTAGCACACTACTGTTATTGTGCAACTGCAACTGTGACTTACGCTTACTGTGCAAGTGTTAAACGTTACTATGCTGCACAGATGCAGTTCATGCCCAGCTGTGTGGGATTTTTCTTGGATGGTGGCTATGTCATCCTCCACCTGATCTGTAGGAGTTAGCCAGCAAGGGTGCTGTTTGTTTATTCACAGCGCTTCGCACGAAGCCGCCCGCACGGAATGTGTGCGTCTGTTTGTCTCGGTCTGTCTGCCTGTCTTGTTCGGGCAGGACACACGGAAGAACACACGCACGATGTCAATAGTCTGTCTCGGTCGGTCTGTCTGTCTGTCTGTCTGCCTGCCTGCCTGCCTGCCTGCCTGGCTGGCTGGGTGGCTGGCTGGTCTGTCTCTCTGTGTCTGTCGGTCTCTCTGTGTCTGTCTGTCTCTCTGTTGTCTCTCTGTGTCTGTCTGGGTCTGTCTGGGTCTAGATCTGTCTGGGTCTGGTCTGTCTCTGTCTGTCTCTGTCTCTGTCTTTGTCTCTGTGTCAAAGATTGTTCCCCCAAAAAACATCAAAAACCACATGCTCAATACCATTCACCTCATCCAGTCGGACTGGGCACGCGACCGAACACATCCGCGATATCAATCGTACAGTGTCCCGCGGTTTGCCTAGACGTTTGCGATTTGTGCGATGTCCATAATGCAGTCTCCCCCGGCCGGCATAACCGGCATTGCATATCCATAGTGCAGTGCCCCTTGGCTTGCCGAGACATCTGCTATGTCAATAATGCGACTTGCCCCGACCGGCATAACCGGCATCGCCAACATTTGGTCCAATTTTAACCACTTCTTAAAAAAATTGAAAAGCACAGCACTTCTGGGAGAAAAATCCCCCCCAAGCTAAAGCTTAGGATTTATTTAGCCGGATTCCTTGCGAATTTACACGAGCCTACATGACGCCCTCGGCACCTCCGGTGCGGGCGGATTTCATGCTTTTGATTTCTGGGAGACCTGTGTGTTGTGTTCAATGTTTGATTGTGAGAACGTGACTTGCAAAGAGGCAACACCGACGCCGGTCCAATCTGTCCAATCCACAAGGGGTTCCCCTGTGTTTTCACACAGGGAACCTTTTTTTCACGCCAAGCATGTCTTCCCCAAGCATGTCTGTACTTCATGGCACCAGCAGGTGGACCAAAACGGACGGACGTTTACACTTCAACCCTTCAGAGTGGACTCATGTATTTCCGACGTGAATGGAGAAGGGCCAGGGTTTTTGGGAGATGATCCTGGTCGCATGAAGAAAGAACCATTCCGAAGCATTCTGAAGCATTTGAACCTTCTGTGCTGGGCAGCTGGTCGTGGGGCAGGTGGTCGAGACCACGTTGTCTCCGGAGCCAGCTGCGGAACCGGCGATGGTGCAGGCGCGCGGGCGAGGTGGATGGCGGGTTGGCGAGCTCGACACGCCCAATGTAGCATCTTGAGCTGCCACTTGGGTGGTGCCAAAGGATCTAATCACATCTGAGTGTGCCGCACTGCACCCGGCCGCACGTACTTATCTCCCAAATCTAGCCCTAAGTTCGTTGGGCGTCGGCACGTTTGGTGGCATTTCGTTGGAAGATCCACCAGGGAGCATCCGAGCAGCTCGACTCCCGGGGTGTCCAAAGGCTTAGACGGACACCTGATCTCCGAAATCGGATGGTGACAGGCGAGTCACCGGACTTCGATGGTCGAAAACTGTTGGGACTTTGCGACCTAACCATTGTCACCATGGGTCTTAAAGTAGTGGTCTTGTGGCTCCCAAAGAGCTGAGTTTTCCGGACGTTGTTCCACTCCACTAGGGAAGAAGAACAAGTTCTTTTGAACGGTCGAACTGAAGGCGAACGGGGCATGTCAGCTCTTGCACTTGACCTTCCTCCGATCCCCTCCGACCCTCTCCAAGCCCCGTCACCCGCACGCGGTGGAGGGGGGAAGAGGAGCGGAGCCCCGTCGAACTGCGGAGTGGTGGTGGGGCCCGGTCGCAGGAAGATCCGGAGCCAGAGAAGAAGGAGAAGGCCATGATTTTGGGGCAGCTTGGGATCGCTTGGGTGGTTGGTTTGAGTGAGGGAAGTCACTTTTGAGCCTGGTGCAGCTGAATTGTAGTAGTAGTAGTAGTAGTAGTAGTAGTAGTAGTCGTAGAGGTAGTGGTAGTGGTAGTGGTAGTGGTAGTGGT